CTTCCTGGCATGGTTGCACCTTGTGGAACGAAGTTCCAGCCAGTGTAGCCCGCAGGATCATTGCAGCACTGAAGCCCGACCACCACGTCAAGGTGGCAGCTTTAGGTCGGTCCGAGAATACAAAGAATTTGCAAGATCCACAGACTGTCGGACATTCCTTGGTGAGCAATCGTGTTCAGAACAGGATGATAAGGTAATAAGAGAATCATTCAGCTGTAATTGAAAATATCGTTCACCCGTTACACCTTTTCGGCGTCTAGTTGCCATGCCACCCGATGGAAGCACGAGGGCTGGGATACTGCCAGGCTGCCCAAGCCTAGACAGGGGAATTCGGGAGGCAGACGTTGGTTTCGAACCATGGACCTTTCGGTCAGTAAATTAGCGCTCTGCTCCATGAGCCATCTCGAATGCGCCTTGGAAATCCAAGAATACTGGAAGTGTGGGCCGTTCATACATGTATCGTTGTTGTAGCTTGATCAACGCGACTCCTAACAGGCCAGAATCTTGCTTACTACTCACGAGTCAATGCTTCACGAGTGACCATTACGTGACAAAGGCCTAGTGACACCGAAAACTTCGCTGACTAGAGTCAAGCTAGTCCCTTCGCGATTACCGGACTTGATACGGTCCCGTTTTGAAACTGGGTGCTGTTAGTCTTTTTTTCGCGAACGGAGACAAATGGATCAGACAAACGCGTACTGAAGACTTCACCTCTGTCCTTTAAGGGTGTCGGTAGGAGGTCATCCGGGTGAGGCGCTCAGTAGCGCTTCAGGGAGCAAATGCATTAGTAGACCTCTGAGGCCATAGGTTCACCGTCCTGGGATCTGCTGCAGCTCGAGGACCAAACTGAGTGGCATTAGGTAACCAGTAGTGCTCAGCCCAGCGATTGAAGTGTCCTTTATTGAAGCCAGTCGATCTACTCTGGCCCCTGATGGTTTCGCCCACCGGCGTTTCGAAGGAATCTGTCGAACGGATCAGCCGGAATAATCTCCAGACGTTCTCGGCTTTCTGAGTCTCTTTCATCTCCTCAACACTCCCGGTCCACCGGGCCTCGCGGTCGGCGCGTACGCTTAGTTTTACATGACGTTTGATAATTCTTCGGGATGGATTATATTCTTGACCGGCGGAGACGCTCCCAGATTCAAGCGGTGTCACTGTTCTGTCTGATATTATAGCGCCTCAGGTAAAACTAACTTCATGACTTCACCGTCCTGGGATCTGCTGCAGCTCGAGGACCAAACTGAGTGGCATTAGGTAACCAGTAGTGCTCAGCCCAGCGATTGAAGTGTCCTTTATTGAAGCCAGTCGATCTACTCTGGCCCCTGATGGTTTCGCCCACCGGCGTTTCGAAGGAATCTGTCGAACGGATCAGCCGGAATAATCTCCAGACGTTCTCGGCTTTCTGAGTCTCTTTCATCTCCTCAACACTCCCGGTCCACCGGGCCTCGCGGTCGGCGCGTACGCTTAGTTTTACATGACGTTTGATAATTCTTCGGGATGGATTATATTCTTGACCGGCGGAGACGCTCCCAGATTCAAGCGGTGTCACTGTTCTGTCTGATATTATAGCGCCTCAGGTAAAACTAATCTAACTTCATGACCCGCCAACCTCAGTTGCTAAGACATTTGGCTGCCCCCTACGTTGTCCTGGCAAGCGTAGGGAGAAGCGACTCTGGGTGATCTCATGGTCCGTGGCTGGCATGCTGTTGGAGGAAACTATCTGGGCAGGCGGAATTTGGTGGGTCATAGAGACAGTCTACGGTCAGCACTTAGCTGAAGCAGTCGTTCGCCACCGTCGATACGTACTGAGTCCAATCCAAGTCACCCAGCTGATTGGGTCTATTCAGGATGCAGTAATCCCAAACTTCCAGTTCGGCGCAACCACCTAAACCTCCAGAAATATTTATTCTGTATAGTTTCCAGAAGCCTTTCCTGTCAGTAGTCATCACCTCCAAGGTGCAGCTAGATACTTTCCTCCCTTGGTCACACTTATTTTATGATTTACTGGTAGTTTTTCAGACCTCTGATGTCCACTAGCTGATGTACTGAAATTGATAGAAGGTTAAAGCCAATCATTCGGCAATCCTCGTTCTCTGTTTCTGGCACAATCATTCGAGTGCGCAACAGTCATCACCTCCAAGGTGTGGCTAGATACTTTCCTCGCTTGATCACACTTATTGTATGATTTACTGGTAGTTTTTCACACCTCTGATGTCCACCGTGTCCACCCTGATTCACTCCGTTTGCGGTGTTCTCCCACCCAAATGGGGTGGACTCAATTGAGGAGACTAAGGCCTTTCCTCACGAATCACCTCAAGATACAATGGGCTTCATGGTCCATTTTGTTTGAATTTTCCAAGATCATCCATCGTACGCACTTGAATCCTGTTACAAAAGCTGTCTAGGCTTTATCGAGGCTCTTTTCTACAGTGAGTTAACTGTCTAATCACTGCCCGAGTAATCGGAAAGTCATGACCCAAGTGAACTTTCATAGAGATCATTAGGTGTTACTATCGTCATCGAAAGCAATACTTGAGTCTCTTTTGTTCCTTGGCTTTATCAATGACTAATATCTTCTCCTCAGTTATTTACTGACGATCTGAGGCTCTGGAGAGCCCTCACTTCTTCACCGAATGTGAGATAGTCAAGCAGTCACGGCGTGTAGTTACTTGCCAAAAGGTTCATGGTTCGAACCCAACACTGGCTTTCTGACTGCTTCTTAGGCAACATGCTAGTATTTCAACTTGTGCTTTCTTCGAGTCGCACGGAAACCGCGCCGATCAGGTGCAACACATGAGCGGTCATTCACTTTTCTTGAATTTGAGCTTCTACAGACAGACCTAGACGGTTTAAAGCTGACCAGCTGTAAACTGCTTATCATCTAACGGTGGGAAGCATCATGTGCCTTCCTCACCCTCGTTTCTACCTTTTGGGTCGAAACATGCATCAAGCCATTTACCGCCAGCGGGATCTACGGGTAATGGCGCAACTGCACTGCACAGTCTTGAAAAGTAGCTAGTACTAGTAACGAGGACTTTTACTCTTTCAGGATGCTGGAAAAAGTGACCGACCACAACTTCTTACAGCATCTTGAATGTGCACTCCAACCGCAAGGCCGTTGGATCAGCTGAGATCAAATGGCCTTAAAAAGTGTACCATACTTCGCCTACAAATTTCTAAAATGCTTTTTTATTTTCCATACAATTAACGGTCAGCATTTCTTGAGGCGTACTTTACAACCTACGGGGCGCTGCAAGATGCTCGATTTATTTATCGTAAATTGATGGAACCAAATCGCCTCTGTCGCTGGTCGTGTACCCTGACAGGATTGATACGTGGGGTTCACTGCTTAGAACTACCTGATGACTGGATGAATGACCAGTTGGATTAACCGTAGCTGGAGCTTTATCGGATGTTATGGTGCGAGCTCCCGATCGGTAGATCCCTCGTTCAGGTCCACTCTTACTTTCAGTTGCTCTTGTCTCGCCTTGGGCAACCTCGGACTGTCACAGCTCTCGTGCTACAACCATGCTTGATGACCGGCTTCAGCCGGGTCGGGGTTGGCACCGTAACCAATAACACCCGGTCAGAACTACTACATCCACATGTATGACCTTCGCATACCTAATCTCCAGGCCAGGCAGTTGAGCGCCAGTATATCTTACTGTTTTGTTGCTGTCAGTACTGTTTTTCTGTTGATCAGAAGCCAACATAGTACAATTTGTAGCCATTGATTCACGTAAACCATCGCGCGTGCTCGCCTGACAAGCCTTGTGTATCCACCTTAGTTTCCAAACCAACTCCTCTTTTAGCTAACTTGAGCACTGAGATCATGTTAATAAAAGCACATGATTTTGTGATTGTCCGCAAGGATGAATACTTCAGGTCAGTCAAACTAGATCCAGATAAGTAGGTTGTTTGCTTGTGCATCTGTTGTGCTAACATATCCAGGGTGGAGACTATAGACGGATCCAAAGTATTCTTGAAAAATGCTATTGGCTTTCCATACGGTACACTCTTTACGATCAATGGGGACCAAATCGAACCGGCTGGTCCATCGCTGGATAAAATGAAAGAGGCATGTTTGTAATCAATAAATTTACCTCCTTTAAACAGCTTTTGGTCCTGAATGAATCCAGCGAAGGTGTTGTTACCCCGCTCGAATCGACTGCTGCTAAGGACAATCGCCATATTGTGGATTCTACTGATAATCAAAAACTGGATTATGAGGATATCAGGTCACTGCGATCCAGTGGCACCTCTGGAAACGTAAGTTACGGTCATTTCCCAAGTATATATCCACTTATACAGGAAATTCTCACGGAGCTGGTGAGAGGCAATGCAAATTTTGATAAGAAGACAAAATTTTCACAAGAGAAGTATGTGTCGAAGAAACGGAAACGGCACTTGAGTTTATTTACCATTGAGAAGCCGTGCACACGGATCCTTTGTGAGCTGTACTCCAAACTGCGCCGAGACAAATGCATGTACGTCGTGGCTTAAGATTGCGTTCTGGTTTGTTCTGTGGGGTACGGTAATCGCCGAGTCCGTAGATTGGTCACCCAAACACCTTGTGCACATAAAAGTGGGCAGCGTGTTCGCAGGGGAATTTAAAATGTGTGATCGGGTAAATTACTGAACCTACCGTAGAGAGGCTTCGGCCTGTAAGGTCAGACAAAGTTCAAATCCTAGCCTCCGAACGGACTGCTCAATAAATACCTAGTCAATTCAGCCCACTATTTTTTATCATCAGATCCTCTGAGAATTGGTGGTGGTTTAGATAGTGATCTAACTATTAATCATTGGTCAGACTGCCTAAGTGAATCATCAACCGATTAGACTCTCGCCTAATTTATATTACACAGCTTTGAATACTGGCAGGTAAGCACATTCACTTCCTTGTGGGTCAAACTTTTGAGTTAGTGGTTAGGGGCAGGGTCTTTGAACATGTGGTCAAAGGCTCAAGGTGAGGTACCTCAACTAACCCCCTCCCGGCCTGAGCAACCTGGAAATATCATTTACCCCCACATTTCTTTTCCTACCGATGTTCCTCCCCAACCCCTTCCAACCACACAACCAAACGTTGCTGGGTCATTTGCTTGTCGGTTATCTGACAAACGTGCTTTACGCACCCCGCTGCTTATCAAGAACAAACAAAATAACGCCTTGCTAAATCTACAAGGTTCTTTCTACGTAAGAGCTCTTAACTTCCATACTCCATGTCAAACTAGAAAACAGTCAATGCTCCCCGAAATCTTATACTTCCTTAGAATTGATATATGCTGTATCTCCGAGGCATGCATACAAGACCGAAGCGTGGTCATGCATCTCAGAACGTCAAAGACGAACTCAGCTCTTTCACATTTATCCCTCCATGTGTCTGGTAATCGAGAAGCGATGAATTGTGGACTATATGGCGTGGGACTGTTGCACTCAACCTTCGAGCTGAGCACGCATTGCCTTATTGGATCCCAGTGAATAGTGGTTTTTCGGCTTTTAGTTATCAAGGTCAATCAAGCTCAATGTCTCTCGACATAAAATGATGGTGCATGTTTGTAGTGTCGGCTTATGCTCCAACGGACTGCACTTCTGACGCTGAGAAGGATACTTACTATCGAGAGCCATCCAGACTTATTCATCGAGCAAGAGGCATTGACGTTGTGATCCTTGCGGGCAATATGAATGCCCAAGTCGGTCGTCTGGGCTTCTTGGAATCACATCTGGGCGATCGATTCAGAGTCGATGCTCATCGCACAGATAACGGAGAGCGACCCTTCCAGTTGTGTGCTGATCATGAACTGTTTCTAGCCGGTACGAACTTTCAACATAAACGCTCGCATCGCGTAACCTGGTGGCCACCACCTTCAAATCACCCGCGGACTCAGTTGGATGGCGTGGCCATCAGCCAGTGGTGTAGAGCCAGAATTCAAGACTGCCATTCCTTCTGGGGTACACAACTCGATTCCGATCACGCCATGTTGTTTGCACGTATGGCAGTTCGTTTCCCTTCAGGCCTTAAGTCATCAAGAAGCTTGCCACTTCACCATCTTCGAAGAACGACCACAACTCAATCGTGTCGATCCGAGCTAGTTCAACAACTCACCACAGTAAACCAACCCCGTACTGGTTGCGAGCACGTGGATGAAGCATGGAAAAATGTGAAGGGAGCTATGCTAGGGTTGTTCGGTGCCGTCTGTCCGACTTCTCTGACACAGTCAAAAGACCACTGGATACCGTCGAAATCGCTACCCAAGATTGATGCCAGGAAATCCGTACCTGCAGACAACAAGTACGACAGCACACACAAATCTCTCAAACGCTAACTAGTAGAGAGCCAAAAGGAAGATCGAGAGCTCTGGTGAACGTTGAAAGCTCGGGAGATGGAGAACGCTTTTTTTTCTGCCGTGAACAACCGTGCCCTATTTCAGCTTATACTATCGGCCGGCCCTGGGAAAGCGACATTGATCAGCGAAGTTACGCAACGTTGGACCCGGTGGGAAAGCAACGGTCAGTGAAACGAAAGAGATGGTCCATTAATTCACTCGTCGACTGGAAAGGTGGGCCGTACACTTCGAAGAGCAGTTTAGTTGGCCTCCTACAACACAGCCTCTGAAGATGGTGCATACGGGTGAATGGAGTGTAAACCTTAGTCGCCCGTCGGAAGAAATTAAAGTACGAAATATCCGTACTCAAATATGAAAAGGCATTAGGACCGGACAGTTTGTATGCAGCCCTCTTCGAAGAAGACGGATAACCCCTGGTGACCTATCTAGCAATGCTAAGTGGCCTGATATGGACAGAAGAGAAAGCATCTGCAGAATGGAGCATGTGGTCAGTCATCCATATCTTCAAAGAGGGCACGCGGATGCTGTGTAAAAACTACCGTGGCATCAGCCTGTTAGTTGTGGAATTGAAGGTGCTCTCTGGTCTTGTCCTTCGAAGGTTGACTGCGAAAGACATCTGTGAAAACCAACTGGGCTTCGTCCTGTAAGAGAATACGATCATATTTTCACTCTCCGACAGGTTGTGGAATGGCGTCACTGCTTCCAGTAGCCAACAATGGTTGTGTTTCCTGATCTGAAAGCTGCCTTTGACTCTGTGGACCGTCAGGCACTATGGCAGTGTCTGTGGAGCAAAAGTGTTCCCCATAAATTGTTGACCCTCCTTAAGGCGCTGTGCGCCAATTCCCGCGACCGTTTGAAAGTCTACGGGAAGCTCTCTCCTGAGTTAACCACTTCAAGTGGTGTCAGGCAGGGTTGTCTTTTTTACCTTTACTCTTGAACTTCGTCATTGATACGATCATGGAAGACTCACCGTTAGCCTCTAATGCCTGTGGGATCGAAGTGCTCCCTAGGCGTCCGCTCACAGATACCGAGTACGCAGACGACATAGATCTTCTTGCATCTGACCCCGTGGTAATGCGAACAATATTAAATAATCTAAATAATTCCGCCTCACGGTTTGGCATGCGCTTCACACCTGCAAAGTGTAAAGTGTTACTGCAAGACTGGGTGGGCTCGTAACCTAACCTCATGCTTGTGGATGAGGCGATCGAGGTAGTAGACAAATTTGTCTACCTGGGCAGCTGTTTCAGTCCCGGTTGTTTCGCGAAAGTTATCCGTATTGGCTTCTTAGTACCAACACCCTTTTACGGCGTAGGGCATCGGTGTTGAACACTGATGTCATGCTGTCGATAATGATGCTGATGTGAATATCTGAGAACCAAATTACAGAGTACTTTTCTAAGCTCAAAATAACTTGAAAACAAATAGAATTTTGAATACACTTTCGTTGGTCATATGTCCATTTATCTCTCTAGCCGAGAGGGTTGCTTATCTTGAAACCAGTCATGATTCTAAGTGTATTTCGTTGACTACTTCAAATATATCGTTACTACTAGAATTCGATGTACACTCTGGTTATAAACAGTAACGGAGGCCGTACTCTTCTACCGGCACAGATGGAGAAGGATCATTGAAGCACTTTTTCGATGTAGGTTCCATCATGTGGATCTCGGCTTTCCTACCATAGGAAAGGTTGAAGTCCGATGAATGAATCAAAAACCTTGCTTGCTGTTCTATAGAACAGTCGATCTGTTTGGAGAGGTTTTCGTAAGAAACAATTTATTTGAAAAACGTGGTTGATCATGTGTGAGATTCTTGGCACCAATAGATCTTCTCCTAAAGCTGATTCGCCACAACTCCATTTTATATGGTGTTCGTGTCTCGTGTAAACTTTTTTGTTTAAGTCCTCCGTCAGTAAGTTTCACTCAGCTGTAGTCGTCCTCATCGTCTTTATCACCAGTTCGGACACGTTTACTCCTCTTCAGGGGCCTGCGTTTTGACACGTTGTGCCACATACTGACGTACTCAAATGTGCACGCCGGATCGAAGGTGCTGCTTGCTGAAACATGTGCTGGGCTTCTACTTGGTGGCGTTTTGGAACGAATAGGCTCGGCGGATCTGGGTGGATCTGTTGTACAATTCTTCCACGGCACTAGTCCACCACGTCCAGAAGTGAATCCACTCGCTGCCTCGGCTTATGAAAAGCAGGTGCGTTGGTTTTTGTTTGCTTCAGTTGTATCCAACCTGTTTAGCAATTTGCTTGCAACAGCTGATAAACTGGTTTGCTTTGGATGCAAGGAACCTAGTATGTCGACCCAGTGGTTCTCAACTAGATCAACTGGAGAACGGAGGCCCCGTAGTCTGAAGGCACTAACTGATAAAGTACATATTGTTGATCCGATCCATCTGGTTTTTGAATCCTTAAACACACTTGGCTATGTTAAGTATTTTTCCATTTACTAACTACCTTGCCTGACGTTGTTGATAGCGGGTGCTTGTATGTTAGTACCACGGGACACATTTTAATCTAATCGGTGTGGTCCTAAACCAGTGAAACTGACGGCTGTACTTTGTGTTCTTTTAATAGTACTGTTATTTGTGTTCCAGCTGCACCTATCTGGGTTACATGCATATGCATGTGTTATTAACACATTTACATGGCAAATGTGACCAGTAAAACACTTTAGAAATTAGGAGGAATTTCTTTCTGATCGTAGCACCTCCACCCAGTTCGGAATAGGATCGCGGATACCAAAACAAACAGTGAGGGCTATCTCGTGGATGAGCAACCAAAAGCGTCTGAAAACTATATCAACATCGCACAGATCGACAGGATGCTTGTTATGCTTATCGTACAATCGACTTTGTTCTCGTCACATTGCACCAGTCTGTTCGTTCGAAACCATCGTCTTCAAAAACACCAACATCAGTGCTGACAATGGTGCTTCAATGTCGTGCAATCACAAGGCTTGTTTAATTTAAAGCCTTAGAATAGTAGAAGAGAAAAAGGTGGCTGAGGGAGGGACGTGTGGCTGGCCTATCTCAAGCATCCTGAGTTTCCCATACCTCCAAGCCCTCAGTCACTCTGGAAAGAAACTAACAGTACGAATGCCACTGATATCGATGGGCCGCCATTTCTCACTATGTCTCCAGCCAAAT